ATAATGTGGACTCTATCGTGATATCAACAGACTGGCGGTCTATAAATCGCTGTTTAATTTTATTCTCTTGTGGTCTCCGATGAATATTTCGAGGTGATGCAAACGAAATGAAAAATGTAATAAGTTCCCACATTTCAGTATTTTTACTAACAACAGATCTAGCCCTTATCTTACATCCCCCAAAAATGCTTAAGGTAGGAATGACGACTTTCATTTGAAAATTGGGGAGAGCGCCTAAAATTATGCTATAATGAAAATACTAAATATGAAGAACTCACTTTACATATGACTCTAACATAAGGTGTAAACTAGCCTTCATTTTTAAAAATGGTTCAAAAAAACGTTTATTTTTTTGTTTCACTCCCCGGAAACGGTTAATTTTTGGGCACACCTTGCTCTCAGTCACCGCAACGAACATAATTCTGTCACGGAATTTCGAACTATCGACCTTTAGTTTTGTAGTTGGACGCGTAATAATAGTTGTAAAGAATTACATATGACTCTATCATATTACATATAACTCTAACCAAATTAATTTCATGTGATTGACAGATTCATTAGCTTTCAAATAACTACACGCAAGGTTCATCAGTTTCTTAAAACCGGATTTTAAATCGGTTTTTATCCGATTCATCCTTTTTCATCCCATTTGCCCAAAAAAAGTTATCATTTTATTCCAACGAAAAACGCGATTTCTATGCACTACCTCATATATGAAATATTATTGTTATTAAATTCTTTTTTAAAAATATTCTGATTTAACACACACACACACAAAATACACACAGGAGAGCCAGCCTCCCCCCTTATCTTTCGATTATGCAAAACATTTTACAAAGCAATATAATAAAAAAATACATACAAATTTATGCAAACGCACAGTTAAAGCGAGAAAATTACAATAGTAAAAGAAGCCGCATCCAAAGAACCCAACATCTAACCAACCATCCATCCATCCAACCAATCATCAATCCATTGAATATCCCCGTTTAGCTGTTCTTTGTGGAATTTAAACGCTGACAATTTGCCGGGTAAAAGAGGCTGCGATACACCAACACCACCATCATAACTGCCATTGCCACCAATTTAATCAACGTTTGACATGGCACTGTCAAAAAAGGAAACAATAGTAATCTACATGAACAAATTTGCGAAGAGGGGAAGAGGTGGTGGGTGGTCTTCGTGTCCTGCACAGTGGGAGAGGGAAAATGATTTTTGATTTGAAATCATAACGAGTGAAAGATTATTTCCAGTACTTGGGAAAATTCTTATACTTTATGATAGGAATATAATTCAGTGGAAGGATGAGCGGCCAAGTAAACTTCTAACGCCTGAAGACCACATTTAGTACTTCTATAGATAGAAGAATTCTAAAGGACAAATTTCAATATATTTTCTAATTTGTTGATCATTTTTAGTTGGACTTTTTTCGGGTTGAGGCCTGAAAGGAACACACGATTTCGTTTTAGGCATAAAGTGCTCCAAAAAATATATTTTCTATTTTCAAAAAATTTAGCCCTTTTCCGAATTTACTTATTATTTTTCTCATAATTTCCCTGTCAAATTACCAGTCTGGGTTGTGGAAAATTTCAAGTTGATTTGAGAGTAGTCGGTTTGTTAATCAAAACCATAATAGAGTTTCTAAAGCGTTCAATCTACATCTCTCCACCTTGGACACCAACAATGATCCTAATTTTGTATCATTTAGTCCCGATTTCCAAAACCACCACCAGATACCAAAAGAGACCTCAATATCAAATTTTGAGATTATAGCTCTATCCCTTCACCCAATATTCAATTTAGTACCATTTAGTACTTTTCGAATCATTTTGGTTCTTATTTGCTGAACCATTCCATATCTCAAACCTAGACAGTAACAATTATCGCAATATAAAATTTAACGCTTTTGGCTGTATCCCTTCACCCAATACCAAAATTTAGCACCACTTAGTAGTTTTCGAATAATTATAGCACACATTTCCAACACCACCTCCATACGAATAGTTGTGGTACATATTTCCAATATCACTTCCACCTCTCAGTTCCAGATACCAACAGAGGCTTCAATATCAAATTGCGGGATTTCCCCACTATTCCTTCACCCAAAATCCAATTTAGTACCATTTAGTACTTTTCCAACAATTATAGTACACATTCCCACAATCACCTCCATATCTTAACCACAGATACCAAGAGTGATCTTAAAATCAAATTTCGAGATTCCAGCTAAATCGGTCCACACAAATCCAAATTGTACCAAAATTTAGTACACATAAGTGCGAATTTCCAAAACTTCCTATATACCCTAATCCCATAATCTAAATTTACAAAACTACCTCAATGCACCAATGATACAATCCCTTAGAAATCTTGTTTCCAAATTTTAGAATTCCAACTCTTCGGTTCACCACAATTGCAATTTGTACCAAATTTAGTACCATTTAGTACACATAAATACGAATTTCCAAAGTTTTCCTCATACCCCGATCCTACACTCCCACAGTAACCCCATTTTCGAATTTCAGAGTTCTACCCCTATCGGTTCACCCAAATCCAAATTGTACCTAATTTAGTAACATTTAGTACCCATGAGTACTAATTTCCCAAAACTATCTCTAATATCCCAAATCCTACACTCAGACTGCAATATTATTTCTAAATTTCAGGATTCTAATGCTGTCGTTCCTCCCAAAATTTAAATTGTACCAAATTTAGTACCATTTAGTACACATAAGTACACATTTCCAAAACTACCTCCATATCCCAATCCTACACTCCGGCAGTAATCTTATTTTCAAATTTCAGTAGTCCAACTCTATGAGTTCACTTAAATCAAAATTGTACCAAATATAGCACCTTTTAGTACACATAAGTACAAATATCCAAAATTACCTACATACCTCAGTCCCACAGTGCTATAGTAATCTAATTTTAAAATTTCAGGATAGCAGCTCTATTGGTTCCTGCAAATTCAAATTGTACCAAATTTAGTACCATTTGGTACACATATGTACAAATTTGTGCTACTATTATTTACATCAAAAAATCCAATAGATCCAATAGAATGCCTATTTCCAAATTTTAGTATTCCAGGTCTATCGGTTTACCCAAATCTACATTGCACCAGATGTAGTACCATTTAGTACTTCTCGTGCACATAAGTACAAATTTCGAAATTTTCCTCCATATCCCAGTCCTACACTCGCCTTTAATATTAATTTTAAATTTCGGGATTTCTTCTATCCGTTTCTTCAAATTCAAAATTGTACCAAATTTAGTACCCGTTAGTACTTTTCATATACATGAGTACACATTTCCTATCTCCTTACATCGATCCTACTCCTCGACCTTGATTTTCATTACTTATTTCGAGTTTTTACCTCTAACCGAGTACCATCACATGATACGAAATATGTACCAAATGTAGTACATTTTCGTACTTTTCGTACATTTATGGTGCAAGCTTTTATAAAGCCCTATGGTACATCTATTATTCACCCTCCTTCCGATATACTGATCCGTCAAATACTTTTAGTACTTTTTGTATCGTTCTACTACAAATTTCCAAAAGCCCGACCTTGTCTGATACCTTCGGATCAAGAGTGACCTCACGAAAAAATTAATCGACCCTACTCCTCAACCTTGTTCCACATTTCAAATTTCAAGTGTTTAGCTCTAACCCTTCACATGATACGAAATATGTACCAATTGTAGTACATTTTAGTACTTTTCGTTCATTTATGGTGCGAATTTTCAAAAAACCTTTGGTATACCCATCATACACTTCATTAAGAGTTCTAGTTTCTTTAAATACTTTTAGAACTTTTCGTACCGTTCTACTGCGAATTCCCGAAAACTCAGCCTTCTCTGACACCTTCGAACCGAGAGTGACCCTCACGTAAAATGTCATGATTCTAGCTTCAGCCGTTTCGTCTGGCCGTTGATGAATCATTACATTCCCAAAATTACTTCCTTACATCGACCCTAGACCTCAAACTTGTTTTCCATTCCAAATTTGAAGTTCTTAGCCGTTTATATCATACGAAATGGTTCCAAATGTAGTACATTTTAGTACTTTTCTTACACTTATAGTACGAATTTCCAAAACACCTTGGTATATCCATCGTTCACTCTATCAGTGACCCTCATTCCAAATTTAGGAGTTCTAGCTCTACTGGTTCGTCAAATACTTTAAGTGCTTTTCGTACCGTTCTACTGCGAATTTCGTAAAACCCAGTCTTATATGACACCTTCGAACTAAGGGCGAGTCTCACCTCGAATTTCAAGATTCTATCTTTAGCCGTTTTGTCTGGACGTTGATGAATCATTGGTTCAGTCATAGACATATACATTTTATTCACTGCCTTACAATTGACTACTCAAAATAAGCCTAAAAGTATGCTACAAATATGTCCCAATTGCTTTGAAGGAATCTTGGCTTTGGTCATCATTTTGTTGGCTCTTTAAAAGTAGACAATAAATTCTCTTGCCAGTGAAATTGTAAAGAAACAATTTTTAAATTTCTCTTACCATTTTGGCATTATTGGCCCACTGTGCTCCTTTTCCTACCCCCTATCCATTCCATTTTTAGGCTTTTTGAAATAATTGTTATGTTAGCGGAATACTGCTAATACTTTTCGTCAGCGGTGAATTTGAATATTTGAAAAGCAATCTTTGTGTAAACATAAAAATTGACGAGGACGACGTCAAAAGGAGCTTAAGAGTGGTTTCCTTTCTCCCCTCTCACTCTCTCTCCCTTTTCTATACATGGCCAAATCTCACTTTTAGACAGGGCGGAAAGTGGTGCTAAAACAAAGCATATTTTTTCTCCTCGTTTTGATGTAGAAATAAAAAATAAAACAAACGTTGACAACTTTCCTTTTGAAATGTCCCCCGTTCTGTTTTTTTTTCTTTATTCTGCATAACATTTAAATATTTTACTTCTTTCTGTAATTCTTTGCATTTTTTGTTCTCATCTCATTTTTCTGTTTGTTTTACAGCTTTGAAAACTTCTCCCGCTATCCATGAACAATGCAAACAATTGGAGCGTGCCAAAACAAGTGACTTACTAAAGGCCAAAATCCAACAGAGACCCAATCGTGAAGACCTAGAACGTCGCCACATTCTCGAGGAGGATGAATGCCATATCGATCCCAGTCTGGCGGAAAAACAGCGTATGCTTAAAAAGGCCCGCCTGGCAGATCAATTAAATTCCCAGATACAACATCGCCCCGGGCCACTGGAATTGATCAAAAAGAATATTCTACACACCGAAAAGCCCATTGAGAAAATTGTCAAAGAGGGTTTGGTCACCTTTAAGGCAACCAGTGAGGGGTTACTAACACGGCCACAACATCCCAATAGTTATGTTACCTACGATGATGATTCCCAGTCATCGGAAAGTGATACCCGCCAGACTCCACCACGTTTGGAGGGAGCTGAGGGTGTGGTGGGCACTGTTGCCAGCAGTGCTACTAGTCAAGCGGCTGGCAGTGATGTTCTACAGGCGGCTGCAGCCTCGGCGGGAATTGTTACGGTGGCCCTGACCATACCAACAAGTGGGGGCCAGGTTACAGTTACCTCGGCTGGACCCTCTCTGGTACAGAATAAAATTGGTAATACCACTAAACTTAATTACATACCTCCGCCACCACCTCCACCCTTACCATCAAACAACAATAACAATGCGGGTATTACCGTCAAACAGGAGACCTCAAATCTTTTCGAAGAGCTTTGCCAATCGGTGACAGGAACAGCCACCAATAATCACTACATCCCCATGGTCTCCTCGCCGGGATCATTGGCATCTTCCACATCCACTCTCAGTCCATTGTCTTCGATTGCCTCGCCACCTTTGAGCCTCACCCCGAGACCATTGGCCCAATCTCCCGCCTTGCAAATTGCCAAATCTGATGCTCCCGGAAAGGATAAAAATCGTAAAAAATCCAAATCGAAACCCGTTTCCAAAGCCAGAACCATAAAATTCCATGAATATAAGGGGCCACCCAGTGCGGCCCATAAGCTAACCTCGGAGGCGACCAGCAGCAGTAGCACCGAAGAGACATCATATCAGCTGATGTTGGAACAGCAAAACTGTCTACTGAAATTCCTGGAGACATTGAATAAAAATCAGGCCATAATACCCACAACAAGTACCACGGCCACGAGCAATACTGCAGCCTCGAGCTCGGCAGCAGGTTCCAATAATGTTGGCAAATCAAATGCCATGACAAATACAACTGGAACATTAACATTGACATCATCCACCGGATCATCAATGCCAGCTGGGGTCACCGTTACCAATATCAGTAGTGGCCATAACACGCCCACTCCCATGCAAGTTGAAGTGCCAATGCAATCCGCCAACAACACCATTTCCATTGTTACAGCACCCCGACCACCACCGCTTCCCTCACCCGCCCCCTCAGTGGGTTCTTCCATACCGGCGAGTCCAGCCACAAGCAATGCTGAGCTGTGCTCATCAACAACAACTGCTACAATCACAGATTTCACAAAACTTGAAAAAATGAAAGTTTGCGATTTAAAAATGCATTTGAAGAAACGCAATCTTCCCGTTTCGGGACCCAAACCCCAGTTGATTGAACGTTTGAAACCATATTTGCCATTGGAACCACTAGATTCCCAATCCGCCACACCCATGGCCACGGGATCTGCTGATAGCAGTGTGGCCGGCCAAAACTCTGGCACCTCGGCTGGTGATGCCATGGATCAAACGGAACATAATTCACCAAAACCCTCATCCACCACAACAGATAAACCACCCCAGCTGGAGCAGGAACAAATGGATGTGGTGCAACAGGTGGATTCACCCAAACCGGTTGCCTTGCAGACCATTGTCCAGCCACAGCCACAAACGGCCACCATTATACTCAGCAATGAGGAGCTATTGAGAGAACAGCAACGTAAAATCGATGAGCTGCAGAGACAATTGCAAAGATCCCAGCAGGAGTTGCTGGAAATACGGCAAAAACAACAACAGCAACAACAGTTACAACAACAGCAGCAGCAGCAACAACAGCTAGTACAACAAAAGCTATTACAACCCACGTTCCAGCAACAAGCGGTCTCTGCACAGGTGGTAAATACTCTGCCCACTCAGCAAATAACCTTGATTACCACCACCACCTCCGCGACCAAACAGCCAACGCAGCAGACCATGACAGCACCACAAACATTGGCCGTAATCCAGCCACATCTAAAAGAGAGTGTTGTGCCGGCCAAGGTCACAGTAAAAGCCTCACCGGCCACCATAAAGCCAGTGCCGATGCCAGCACCATTGGTGGGCAATAAAAAGTCAACTACAACAACAAATACAACAAACATTGGCAACAGCACCACGGTGACTGCTCCCGTAATGACCCAAAAAATGGTGGTCAAGCAGCAGCTGGAGGCAAAGATTCAGAAACAAAAGCAGGCTGCCGCGGCGGCAGCAGCCGCTGCTCAGGCTCAAGCCCAGGCTCAGGCCCAAGCACAGGCTCAAGCTCAGGTTTTGGCTCAAGTTCAGGCCCAGGCATTGGCCCAAGCCCAGGCCCAAGCTCAATTACGCCTTCTCACACAAAAGACACAAACTGTACTCATTCCAACCGGATCGACGACCATTACCACAACGGCTGTGCCCACGAAATTGGACGACAACAAGTCGATGACAAATATGAAAATGAAAAATCAACAGAACACAACGCATCTCATCAAGGCGGCTCCGCTGAACTCGGCTGCGCCCTCCACGGCCACGGCCACTCTTGTTGCGGCCAATCAATTGCCGCTAACAAAGACCCACAATAATTTGGGTTTGGTGTGGAACGAATGTAATCAGACCATATTTTTGGTCGGACTCAATGATCAGCACATGACCGCCCATACCATTGGCAATATCAGTTTGGCCAATGCCTCGCCAGCCACCAAGAAATTGATAAATGGACATCAGCGTACAAATTCACTGCCCAGTATTGTGTTTCCAATAAATACAGGTGGTGGAGCGGCCGTGGCGGCTGGCATGCAATCAATGATGGAAACCAAGCCGGTTATAACCCCACAACAATTGCAGAAAATGCAAATACGCCAGCAGCAGCCACAACAACAACCACAGGCTGGGTCTTCGAATGTCCAGCAGCAGCAACAGATTATACATTTGGACATCAAGCCACAAAATTTACAGCCACCACCACCACCTCCTCCTCCACCGCCACAATACGAGGAAGCCACCAAACAATTAAAAGCGAAACAACAACAACAACAACAGCAGCAACAACAACAGAATTCAATAAATCCCTCCTTAATGAAAATCAAAGAAGAGCCCAGCCAATCTACCATCAATCAAATAACCCTAAGTCCCTTGGCCACCACTCAAGGCGATCAAAAGCCCCTAAAGGCCCCCATCAAATCGGAAAAACTTGCCGATGTTTTGGACATATTTTTCAAACAAAGCAGCGACGGAGCTGGCGGCGCAGATAATTCTTTGGTAGTAGAGCCAATAACGCCAACAACAAGTATGCCCATGACACCAGGTGGTGGCAATGCCTTGATGCATGAATTCAATGAAAGTCTAATGTTCTCCACCGGAACAGGAGTAGACAATAAAGATAGTATCAAACAGGAAACTATTAACATTGATGGCGTTAAGGATGATAAGCTGGCCGTGCAGGAACCAATGGTGGTTGTGGCCGGGGGAAATGGAAATGACAAAGGCGAGCAATTGACATTGGATAGTGGCATGAAACCAATGGCAATGGATTGTGCAGATTCCCAGCAAAATAACAATAATAACAATAACAGCAACAACAACAACAAAAGCATTGGCAACGCCCTCAATACAAATGCAAATGAGACCAATTCTATTTTTGACTTTTATACCAAGTCCTCATCCTCAAGTGTGACCACCGAGGATAACAACAACTCGGCTAGCAACAATGGCAACAACAACAGTAACAACAATAATAATAATAATAACAGTAATTTTATTGAAAATATTGATATGACCTCACCCATACAACCAGATTGTCACATCGATGCTGAGAGTGTTTCCAAGACATTGGATATCTTCCTGGAGAGTCATCATCATAATTTACAGCAGCAACAGACCAATACCAACCCATGCATCCATCATCAGTCATCGCCCACACATCATGATATGTTAAGCAAAACGTGTCTGGATGAGCAACGAGCAACATCCTCCCTGCACACCAACGACGAGGAGGAGGCCAAACTAAATCATTTCGATGAATTTGAATTATTGGAATTAATGTCCCAGCAATTGGAGATGGACATTGGTGAGGACACGAACACCAACTTTCAAGACTCGTTACTCAAATGTGCCAACAGTAACAGTGCAGTGAACATGCAACAGCAGGCGACCCATGGCCAATCAATCAACGCCAATCACCCTGACCACAATCACCACCACAACCACCACCATCAACAGCAACAGCATTCCAATGAGAAATTAAATATTTTAAATAGCTTACGACGTGACATGAATCCCAGTCTACAGCCATCCATAGAGGAGATAATGCAAAATCACAATGGCCTCAATTTGGAGGGGAATCCGAATCATATGCACTCTACGACGACATCCATGACATCATCGGCCAACAGGGATGTACAAAATGTCCTTGATGATTTCGATGCCGATACATTTGTAAGACATTTGGCGGAGCAGCATCATCATCAGCATCACCATTCAGGAGAGCAGCAACAGCATGAACAACATCATCTGCATAATATTGTAAACAACAACAACAACACTGGTGGCATGCACCATAACACCACAGATGCCACACCCATGGATTGTGATGACTTTGATAATCCATTGAGTGGTTTTAATTTCTCAGCCTTATCGCCGGATTCGAATATTAATACACCACCACATCCATTTGGTATGAATGGCAATGTAACACCACCGCCACCACACTCATCCAGGTCATTGTCAACATCTTCGTCGACGACGCCGGCAATAGGAAATTGTGGTCTACAAGCATCTTTAAGCTCCTCGGGAACCCAGCCGCAGCACCAGCAACAGTGTCATGAACAAATGTCCATTTGCAACAATTCCAATACAGCCACCAGCACCACCAGCAGCAATGGCAGCCTTAGTAATAGCAACAATATTTTGGCCAATAGCGGTTGCAGTGACATGCTATCATCCCACAGTGACACCAACACCACCAATGCCAATGATGCATTTGGCGGCGGAACCTCGACAACGGATATCTTTGATTTATTTAATATCGATGATTATAAAATGTCCTGGGGTGAAGGTGATTTTGCGGTTTAATTAGAAGTAGAGATGTGGAACAGCAGTTGGATGGTGTGTAAAATAATTACAGATATGGATGGTCTCACAAAAGAAGCGGTATATACACACACACATACAGGCGTATGTCATTTAGATGTGTTTGTGTGTAACGCATTATAAATAGTAATTACATTTTATTTGACATGAGGAAGGGATGCTGAGGAAATTTTGTTGTTTTCCAAAGAGAAACGGTTGCGGTTTGCTTGGAGTTAGAATTGAAAATTTTTCAATAGGGTTAGCGCAAGATTTTTCAAAATAGAAAATAATACACTTTGACATTCATTTGCCATAAAAGGGTTAATGAGTCTATACTAAATTATTTAATGAACTATTTTAAGACAGTAGAACTTCCAGCTTAGTGGTATCAGAAGTTTGAAACATCGGGTCTCATCAGTTCATTTCTTGTAATTGAACTAATAAGAAACGGTTCCAACTGCCTACCGTTTGAATTATAAAATTTCAGAGACCAAGCTCAAGACTTTCCAAAACGAAACTGAGAAACAAATACCGTTTCATTTGGGTTAATGAGGCCTAATTGCTTCAAGAAATATTTAAAAAAAAAGTAGAAATTCTTGCGAAATCTAACTGATTTCAAATACACTCAAGGCTCGCAGAAATATATTTGATCACATTTGATGTAATAATCTGTGTCATTTGCTTGCATACTTTTAGGAGCCAAATTCAATTGCAACTTTTTTCGGTTTTAAAATCAATATTGAGATATTAAAATCGATATGAACAGGTCAGGTCCTTCCGACTTCCAATCATTCTATCAAAATACGTTTTTATACCCTCAGCCTTATAGCTACAGAGGCAATATACCATTTTATACGGCCAAAATGTGCCTCATCGAAATGACGGTTTTAGATCCTAGGTCTCTTGGAAGAAATTCGTTTCCGGACATCTGGGATCTGTCTGACTGGCAGGTGCGCATATTAACTCTCTTGGGAAGTATTCGATTTCGTTCGAACTTCGTGAATAATAATATTTTTTATTAAATTCAGATCGAGTTCGGAGATTGGCAATATCGGTAAAAATATGTTTTTATACCCTCAACCTTATAGCTGCAGAGGCAATGTATCATTTTATACGGCCAAAATGTGCCTTATCGAAACTATGGTTTTAGATTCTAGGTCTCTTGGAAGAAATTCGTTTCAGGACATCTGGGATCTGTCCGACTGGCTGGTGCGCACATTTGCTCTCTTGGGAAGTTTCCGATTTCGTTCAAACTTCGTGAATAATAATATTATTATCAAATTCACATCGAGTTCGGAGATTGGCAATATCGGTCCTCCCCTCCTTTTACCTCAGATGCACAAATCGGAATGCAATATAAATGAAAGAGGATGTACATTTTTGAAACCTTTGAATTCTGCAGTATTTTCAATTGGACAATTTTTATTTATTTGTTTTTGTTTTTGTTTTATTTTGGCTTCGCAACTACTTCACTTGGATACTTTTGGTCGGTTGGGTTCAGCCTAGGGAGAAATAAACATTTTGGGAATAGGAGAGATATAGAAGAGAAAAGAAGAAGAAACAGATTTATTGAAAGGGGTGTAGGTAGGTGGTTTCCCTGCCAGGGGATGGCGTTGGCAAACTTGTAAATTATAAAGAGATAGAACGTTTGAGTTTCCACTTCCCACCTGCCGAACAGACATGGGACATGGGCAAATTAGAAGTTCAAACATCTTTATCTCTTCTTCATAGTCACAGTAGTCAGGAACACTGTTGTCCCAACATGAGGTCAGATATGCAGTGATGCTGCAGTGACCAGTCAGTATGCCCACCACGATTCTTAGATCAAACCTACTTAGTGATAGAAGGGAGCTTGTTCTTCTCCTCGAGGTTACGGGTTAGATGGATTTAGATAGCCTGCAACCGGTTTCCAAGTGCCATCTCCTTCCAGCATCTTCGATGAGAGATATTTTGAAGCTGCCAACGTAATTGCTTATTTGTGGTAGCCTCGAGCTAATACAACATCCTCTTCAGTTCCTATTATGTTGCTGGTACCCAACAAAGCTTAATGAGCCCTCGTTTTTCAAGGAGAGATTTCTTACAGTCAAGAGCTGTTCTCGATTTAATGGCACTTGACTTGATAGCTTTGCGATCCGATTGACTATCGGAATTTATGTAGTCACTGGCCCTGTTATGCTATGGCAGAGTTCTTTGACCATTTCGGCTGCCTTTTTAAGTGCAAGAATCTCCGCCGGGAAAACACTGCAAAAGTCATTAAGCTTAGATGAGTGTTTCATGATTGTGTTATGGCATATAACGCCAGCACCGGTACCCTTATCCAACTTGGAAACGTCTGTATACATGGCCAAAACATACAGAGTAGGTTCTCCTCCAGCCCGGGCAACCCTATCAGGCGGATTTTTTTAAATGGGAATTTGGAATTCTGAAAACGTTTCTTAAAGAAAACAACAACAATTTATAACGACATTTGATGACATACTCTTTACAACCGCTGTGGAATAGCTCCTCCTAAAAAAATAGATATTCTATAAAATCAGATAAGTATATTCGATTAGAGCACCCATTATAAATATAAACCCAATTTTTTCAAAAAAAAAAAAAAAAAGTATCTATAGCAAATGGAGATACCTTAAAAGAGAGAAGAATCAGAATTGATTTCAAATTCTATTCTTGAACATCTATTCAATTTCATCCCAAGAATTTTTTGGAGTAAATGGGGTCGTCTTAATAGATGAACCCTATAACAACAGGCAACCGTTTTCAATTTTGAATTATATTCTTCTACTTTCATCCCAAGAAATATTTTATGGCGAACAATGTTAACACAGAGCAGAATCGTAGTATATCTCAATTAAGCCAATCGTTGCGACGGTACCATTCGGTATCACTTTCAGGAATATGTATTCATTCATTGAAGGAATCACCAGACCAAAATTGGTGGTAGTGAAATGTTGAATTAAAATATCTAAAGGAAAGCATTCGCAAAGATGTGAATGTCAATGGACGAAGTCAATATAATATTTTTTTATAATATTAATTTAAATATTAATATTTTTTATAAATTATTTAATGTATATTTTCAGTTGAGTATTTTTTGTTAAGTATTTTATTTTTTACATTATTTATATGATTTTGTATTGTGTTTATTTTTAATTATTATAATTTAATTTTCATTTCATTATATATAATTATGTTAACTTTTAAGCATGCCAATAATTTTTATTTCAAAGTATTTTTTTTTTTAATTTTTAATGTGGTATTTTAATTTATTTCTTTAATTTGTTTTTACGCATATTGTTTTTTTTTAATTATCTTTTATTTTTTTAAATAAGTTTTTTTTTTTTTGCTAAGATTTCTGTATTGAATTCATGCCAAGCACATTCAAGATACTTTGTAAAAGTAAAATGTTCATATTATTTGTAGTTAAAAGTTAAGCCATAATATAGGGCTAAAATTTTCGAAGTAATAACATCAATTTTATTGATCAAATCCCAGTTCTCCACATTCAAATATTTAATTGGTTTAGAAATACGCCACTCCGTTTCTAGTAAAATTTCAATTTATTGGTTCAATCTATATTACAATTTAGGCTTGTTCAGGTCTTAGTTTTCTCTTGCCGCCCAAAGTTTTTCTGCGTGATTCTTCATCAAAAATATAGAAGGCACTAAAAATTGTTTTACAAGTTTTACAGATCAATAAAAACAGATTTCAATAAAATAAATAATTTTTTACAGCAAAAATATACAATAGCCGGCCTTACCGTGTTACCTTGTAAATACACCTTGGATCAAAGGTACACCTTGGATTTTAATTCGTTTCCTAAAAAAATTTCAGTTTCCTAATAAAATATCAACTTCTCTTTTGAATTCTTTAATAGAAATTCATCAAAAATATAGAAGGCACTAAAATTTGTTTTACAAATGTTTAATAAAAAATAAATTAAGGCTTTAAAAGAAGACTAAAACCGGCCTTACCGTGTCACCTTGTAAATACAACTTGGTTGAATCGTACACTTTGAATTTTAATTAGGTTCCTAATAAAATTTTAGTTTCAATTTCCTAACAAAAATTCAATTTCCTAATAAAATTTCAATTTCTGTTTTGAATTCTAAAAACCTCTTTAAGTTGTAGGTTTCAACATAGATCTGAATTTGCTGGAAATTAATATCTTTTCCGCCATTAACAGAGTTAATGGTTACTGAAGTTCAAAAATTGAAGTTGAAAAATTTTTGCTAAAGATCGACCTTCCTTTGTTGCATCGGTTGAGGTGTCCGAACTCGGCAAACAAAGTTTGAATGCAGGATCATAATTTCGAGTCGTTTATATTCATATTTTTTGCCAGTTTGAAGTTTAAACTTAATTTTGATCCGAAAAGGACCACTCCTCCATTGACAGAGTTATTTCAGGGAATTTGTGTATCGATTGAGGTGCCAGACAATTGATATTTTGGTATCGAAAGGTAACCACAACACCTCTCTGAAATATTTTTTTTTCATTTTTTTTAATAGTTCCAAGTGTTGAAATACTAGCTAGATATATGAATGGCGACCATATTTCAAATACCGTTTCAACAATATTCAGAAAGTTACAATTTGGAGACGTCTCAAAATTTGTTGGAGGCTCCTTAAAGTATGCTATAAAATATGAAAATATCAATTTTCATACGACTCTAACATAATGCGTGATCGGGCCTTTGGTGTTGTTATCACTGACAAAGGAAATTTCGAACCAAGGACTTTGAAAAATATTTAAAAAAAATATTATTGCTTAACTAATACTTCCTAATAAGTTAGGGACCTTGTTATACCACAATCGGAAAGGGTGAATAGATATTCTGAAATCATTACCAGTGATTGAGTTGATTTTTTACAAAGTTTCCCCTCTATAAAGCATGCAATTCAAAATTAAACTACACACACCCACCCACACTAGACATTGTTTTTTTGATGCATTTAAGAAATATAACTTTTACTTTTTCGAAAAGAAGCAGACTTGTATGTGTGTGTCACCGCTTACAAATTCTTTTGTCCTTGTTTTTTTTTGTTTGTGTTTTTTTTTTTGCAGATAATATCAAAAAAAGCTTAAATTCTTTCCATGAACATTAAAAAGAAGTAACCCTGAACGTGTGGTATTATTACATCAAACATAAATGTGGTCTAGCAACTACAATGAGTTTTATACACGTATATAACACACGCATACACATCTATAGATAAATATTTCTTAATAATATATAATCAAATCAAACACACACACACACACCTACACAGAACGT